TAGCATTGGCACATGGTGGAGGAGGGGTCGGCACTTGGTGGGAAAAGGGTTGGCATTATGTTAGGACAACGTCGGGGAGACGTCGGCACATAGTGTAAAAGGGGTTGGCATTACGTTGGTCCTACGTCAGGGAGACGTCGGCACATGGTGGAAAAGGGGTTGGCATTACGTTTGTCCTATGTCGGCATATGGTGGGATAGGGGTTAACATGACGTTGGTCATACGTCGGGGGGACGTTGGCCCGATGTTGGCTTAATGTCATTTCGTCGCTGTCGAGCCAACGTTGGCCCGCCGGCAAGAAAGCCGTTGGCCCAACATCACATTGGTGACGATGGCGCAACGTAACAGCCCACGACGTCGGCACATGGTGGGATAGGGGTTGGCATAACGTTGGTCTAATGTCGGAACTACGTCGGCACATGGTGGGATAGGGGTTGGAATAACGCTGGCCCTACGTCGTGGAGACGTCGGCACATGGTTGAAAAGGGGTTGGTATAACGTTGGGCCAATGTCGAGGAGACGTCGGTACATGGTGGGATAAGGGTTGGCATTACGTTTATCCAATGTCGGAACAACGTCGGCACATGGTGGGATAGGGGTTGGCATAACGTTGGTCGTACGTCGGCACATGGTTAAAAAGGGTTGGGACGACGTTGGTCCAATGTCGGAAAGACGTCGGCATACGGTGGAAAAGAGGTTGGCATAACGTTGGTTCAATGTCGGGAGGACATCGGCACATATGGTCGGATAGGGGTCGGCATAACGTTGGCCCGATGTTGGCTTAATGTCATTTTGTTACTGTCGGGCCAACGTTGGCCCGCCGGCAAGAAAGCCGTGGGCCCAACATCATGTTGGCGACGTTGGACCAACGTAACAGCTTACGTTGGCCCCACGTTGGCGTAACGTCGTATTGTTATCTGGGTAGTCTAGAAAAACGTTTAAGGTGTCATTTCCAACTAACTTGGGGATGCCAATTCATTACGCAATACTTTGAGATCGCCAGAACTCAGGGATTTGCAATAAGGTCAAGTTCAAGGTCATATTAGGCCAACAAAAGTGATGTTTTCTTTTTTAAAATAAACTTTGCCTCTATTTTGACACTTAAGGAGTCATTATTTAAAAAAAAATTAAATGACCCGTGTACCACTACTTTGACTATCCAGGGTCATATTTTATAGAGCTGCTTATCGGCTGGTTTTGTGTTTACGTATGAGTTTCTACTTCATAGCACTGCTAACCGTAAGCACACGAAAATGCATTAACCTTACGCTGCTTACTGGACGAAAATTAATTTTGTAACAATGCAAATCCATTGTGAACGCACAAGGTGGACGCCTTGTTTTCACGAAAATTTGATTACCGGTAAGCAGCTTTAAGAAATTGGGCCCAGAAGACCAAAAAAGCTATTCCAAATACGACCTAAAACCTGTTCATTACCCCATGAATTTAGCACTATCCACAACTTATGAATTATCCTAATGGTAACGATCAAAATCTAACAGTCTCCAGAACAAGAGAACAGTTCAGTGCATCCTTTCTTGCAGCGACAGTGGATTATTCATGGCACAATTTTGATGCTTCCGGGAGAGTGATCCAAAGAGGCTGCCACCCAGTTGTTTCGTTTGTCCAGCCCAAGTCAGATGGCTCTGGCATCTCTGGATTCTTGGCCAATATCTGGTTCCAACAATTGGCCTGGTAGCAAGTGCGCTTGATGTGCTGCTTGAGTGCTGTCTGGGTTGGAGGAAAGTTCTCCAGGTTTCTAGACTTCTGTGCGAAGAGCTGTTTCCTGGCATCATTCACTACCATGCTCTCACTGGTTCGGTCGTATCAGCACCACAAATCGCTCTGGCAGTAACATTGATCCTTCACTGACCTCCCTAGGCATGCACAGGAGTTCACTAAAGGAATCATTCACTTCTGGGAAAGACTTCTAAGTTTTTCCTCTGGATGTAGAAACAGTCTGACAACCGTTGAACGCATGACAGATTGGGAGAGTCATACATTGTGTCGGACTCATGGTGGCAACCATCATGATTTTGTGAAAAGCTATGTACCGAAAGCTTGATCTGACACCAAAAGCGATCCACAGCATCAGGAGCTGTCTTGCTGAATGAAGCCACAGCCAGTTCAACCGCATCAGTATCACCAGTACGTATGGTTACCCTTTTACACCCATGGGGCAAGGCCTGCCAAGTGTGACTCAGCAGGAGAGCAGAGTACTCCACTTCCATCTGTTGCATATTGTACAGTTCCTTGCCCTGTGGTAGAGGAAGATGAACGACATGACATGAAATCCAACAATTCGGGATTGTTCTCATTGACTCGAAAGAAGTCCTTCCAGCTTTCTGGCAGCACAGTAGAAAGAGCCACCCTTTTCCTGGTGCCCTTTCCTGCTTATTGAGGCTTTCAGGCTAGCAGGTAAGTATACACCCTAGCCAAGGTCGATGCGGATGCTTTTCTCGAGTTGAGCAAAGATGTATGGGGCAAACACTCTTTCTCCATACTCTTGAAATATTCTTGATGTTCCAGGATTGAGCATTTGAACCACAGCTTCACCATCAATAATTATTGCTTGGGCCACAGGTGCACTATTGTTTTCGAGCAGATTTGATTCCAGGCAGCGAAGTAGATCTGCTTTAACTCCAACCCGCATTTTCCTCCAGTTAACAAAGCTGGCGGGGCTGCCTGGTTTTCATGAGAGAAGAAATTATCCATATGTCCATCTCTTGTCTGACACGAGATGTACATCCTCAAAAAGAGACCACAGTCCAAAAAGAGACCACGGGTTAAGTGCTGCAAGCTGTGCCTACTGTTTTAACATAACCTTCGCCGGCTGCCGACTGAAAAATGGCAACTTGTTCGTATGAATTTGTGTGACAGGTGTCGTACACTGCCAATGACTAGTAGGTCTTGACTTTGTTCTAGATATGGATTCCCCATCTCTTTCAGTACTGTCAGAAGTTCCCATCCCTCAAGAATGCTGCCTGCACTCCAGGTTGCTGGTCATGGTGATGTTGTCTAGTGTTAGCAGAACCGTTATTTTGCTTTATGGCCTGTTCCTCAAACTCTGTAGTGATCCTTTAAATTACTTAGCACCGAATAAAACACAAAGTAACTTAAAAAACATCTTACCAGTATTATTGAGCAGTAATGAAAAGGAGCAGTTTTCCTGACTTGAATTGAGGTTTTTGCCGTATACTGCCTAGCTGCCCACTGACCATGCTATGCGCATGGTCAGTTACAAGACAAATGGTTTGGTGCTATAATTAGTGAAATAAACTAACTGATAGGGATTACGATGGAGACTATGCAGGGGAACTACTCCTACAGAAATTTGAGAACATTATATAGGGGGACAAATAAATGGAAAAACTGTATGTAACCATTCAAAACTTGCTATTTTTTGTCAATTTTGACCTTGACCTTGACTTAATGCAAAGCCCTGAGTTCTGGCGTACTCAAAAGTATTCCCAAATAAATTGGCATCCCTAAGTTAGTTTGAAATGACACCTAAAACGTTTTTCTGGACTATTTGGTTCAAGAGTTATGCGTGTTTGTACAATTATTAGACTATGCGGCGGACTGGCGGCCATTTTCTATCTGACCTCTCAGGATCATCAGAGGTCAAATCAAAACGTGAAATGAACTAACTGAAATGGATTAAGGTGGGGGACTATGCAGGGGAACCATTCGTAAAGAAATTTGAGAACACAGGGGAGAACAAATGACAAATAAATGGGAAAACTTTTTGTAACCATTCAAAACTTGCTATTTTTTAGTCAATTTTGACCTTGACCTTGACCTAAATGCTAAGCTCTGAGTTTTTGCGATCTCAAAAGTATTACCAAATGAATTGGCATCCCCAAGTTAGTTGGAAATGACACCTTAAACGTTTTTCTGGACTATTTGGTTCAAAAGTTAAGCGTGTTTGTACATTAGACCATGCGGACTGGCGGCCATTTTGGATTTGACCTCTCAGGGTCATCAGAGGTCAAATCAAAATGTTTAATAAACTAACTGAAAGGGATTAAGGTGGGGGAATATGAAGGGGGACCATTCCTAAAGAAATTTGAGCACACAGGGGAGAATAAATGGAAAAACTTTTTGTAACCATTCAAAACTTGCTATTTTTTAGTCAATTTCGACCTTGACCTTGACCTAAATGCAACACCCTGAGTTCTAGCGATCTCAAAAGTATTACCAAATGAATTGGCATCCCCAATTTAGTTGGAAATGACACCTTAAACGTTTTTCTGGACTATTTGGTTCAAGAGTTATGCGTGTTTGTACAATTATTAGACCATGCGGCGGACTGGCGGCCATTTTGGATTTGACCTTTCAGGGTCATCAGAGGTCAAAACAAAATGTGAAATAAACTACCTGAAAAGGATTAAGGTGGAGCACTATGCAGGGAACCATTCCTAAAGAAATTTGAGAACAAATGACAAATCTCATTTGTAACCATTCAAAACTTGCTATTTTAAGTCAATTTTGACCTTGACCTTGACCTAAATGCAAAACCCTGAGTTCAAGCGATCTCAAAAGTATTACCAAATGAATTGGCATCCCCAAGTTAGTTGGAAATGACACCTTAAACGTTTTTCTGGACTATTTGGTCTAAAAGTTAAGCGTGTTTGTACATTAGACCATACGGACTGGCGGCCATTTTGGATTTGACCTCTCAGGGTCATCAGAGGTCAAATCTGACTTCCCTCCACATCTGAAAATAAATCTTATGGTCTAAACTAACTATGCTAGAAGTTTCATGCTTTTATCAAAAAGTGCACAATTTTCATTATATTGGGAGCTTATCCGCTGTACTAAAGGTATGAATGTTTAAGTGTATACTTGCATCGGAGAAAGGCAACATCGCATGGAAAGGAAAAAAAACTAGATCAAAAAGCCTTACCATGCATGAAGAAAAATACACGACACTCTTATATAGAAAATTTAAATTGAAGCTAGTTTGTTTTTGAAGTATTCTGGTTTTTGAATTGCAGGAAGCAGCCGCTACTGGACGACAAGCTACAGCCATCGATCTCTTCCGCACGCCAAACCTCAGGATTCGAACACTCAATCTCATGTTCAACTGGTATGACTTCCATTTAAACATGATGATGAAACTTTTGGTAGCGATGATAAGTAATGATGATGGTGGAGCTGATGATGATGATGATGGTGATGATGGTGATGGTGGTGATGGCGTTGGCGATGATGAAGATGATAATGATGGTGATGGTGATGATAGTGATGGTGATGATGGTGATGGTGATGATGGTGATGATGCTGGTGATGATGATGGTGGAGCTGATGATGATGATGGTGATGATGATGATGGTGGTGATGGTGATGATGGTGATGGTGAAGATGGTGATGATGCTGGTGATGATGATGGTGGAGCTGCTGATGATGATGGTGATGATGATCATGGTGGTGATGGTGATGATGGTGACGGTGATGAGGGTGATGGTGACGGTGATGGTGATGGTGAAGCTGATGATGATGATGATGATGGTGATGATGGTGATAAATATGATTATTGGTGGTACTCCTTACTACAACAAAATCGAATTTTATTTTGTCCTTCAAATTGTTGTTACAGGTTTGTGAACACGCTGGTATATTATGGACTCTCTCTGAGTACATCCGATCTAGGTGTGAATGTCTACATTGCTTTCTTCATCTCTGGTGCTGTGGAGTTTCCTGCGTACATCAGTTGTATCTTTGCTATTGAATACTTTGGACGCAAGTGGAGTATGTTCGGTTACATGGTTGGTGGCGGTATCGCATGTCTATGCACCATCTTTACACGTAAGTTTACCATCTCAGAGGCTTCTTCAGATATGGCGTGGTAAACCGCCCCCCCCCCCCCCCTCTCAAAAAGGCGCGTTTTTTAACGTGTAAATGAATGGCAACTGCATAACTATAAGATACAGAAATGTGAAGCTATTATAGATTTTTTGTCATCATTAAACAAACAAAAACCGCCGCGGTTGTTTGCGGTTTAACCGCGTCATATCCTATATCACGTAATGATGTATAGAAAGAAAACGAGAGAGGGAGATGGGGATAAATATATATATATATATATATATATATATAGGTTGAATACATAACAAAATAAAACACTAATTTGTTTGATAAATACTAGAAACAATGCACACCTTTCAAATAACTATATAGGAAAGTGAACGAATTTCGTGATTAAATTCCAATAATGAGTTATATAGGTGGATAAATAATTGTCAAAACTGACAATATATTGTGTCTACATTTTGATGGACTACAGCTCAGTACTTCAATTAACCCCGTAATCATCAATATCTTTCTTACCATATTCGGTTGTTTTCGTTGTTGATATTTTAAAATATTAACACATCAATGCTTTCTCTACAACCGTTCTTTCCATTCAACACAAATATTACAAAGACATGACAATATTATTATAGGATCTAAACAAACAAGATTGAATGATGAAATATCACATTTGTTTTTAGCCATTGGAGCCTGGCGTACAACAGTGGCGATGATTGGAAAGTTTGGTATCTCAGCGTCGTTTGCGATCGTCTATATCTACTCAGCTGAGCTTTTCCCCACACCTGTCAGGTAATTAACCACTTCTCAAACTACTCGAATGATCAAAACTAATTATTATCATCAAGATACTCTGTAATTCAACCTGCAAACGTTATTGATACGATCGTAAAGACAGTCGGAAAATGAACTTTAGTCTCTTTCAACATAGCCTCTTCCATCACGGATTACAATATGCTAATATATAAACTAAAAATCAAGCGGGAAGAACACAACTGTTTTGAAATTAGGCTAACCCTTGAGTTCATGTCTCGAAAGTCTATGCAAACATATTATTTGCGTTTCTCTCACCGTGTGCGGTGATAAAGGAAAAAGAAAGAAGCTTGAACAAAACGAGAGTTTCTAAACAAATGTGAAAATAATTACAGTCTAATCGGATCCTTGGGAATTTCTCTTGGCATTAAAATATAATTTACCCGAAAATTAATGACCGTGCATGGCAAAGCAGTACCATCATTTTGATAGGATTCTTCGTTTTCTTTTTTCTTTTCTTTGATGGAAATGTGTTTGTTTTCTTTGTTTATAGGAGCGTTGGTGTAGGTATATGTTCAATGAGTGCTCGTATTGCCGGAATCTTAGCTCCCATCATCCTTCTATTGGATGATACGTGGGAACCTTTCCCAGTTCTCATATTCGGTGTGATGTCGATAGCCGCTGGTCTTCTTGTTCTCTTCTTACCCGAGACTCGCGGGGAGCAGCTCCCTGAGACACTGGAAGAAGGAGAGATGTTTGGAACGTAAGTTGCTCCAATCAAACCGAGGACAAACATACGCGAAATTTGTCCTCGATTTGTTTTTGTGTGTATCTTTTTGTGTTAATAAGTTTTTAGTCTTTTCTCTAATAAAATAAATTACAAATAAATGTTCACATAAACAAAATTACAATTAAATGTCCATGTTACATACGTTGTCATAACACATAATTTAGATTCACAATACATTATTCGAGAAAGCAAAACCATACATGAATCAAGCCTATTATATTATTACCATTAATAACATCTGCACTTCCTGTATGCTTAGTCTTCGGAGAGAAAATAAAATTACTCAGAGAAAGAGAAGAAGAAAAAATTGAAGGAAAGAAGATGAGAGAGTGAAGTGAAGGTGTCGTGAAAAAAGGACCCCAGCGAAACAGAAATAAAAAATGATATAATCGATAATAATTGTATTTTCTCAATATCTGAGTTCGGAACTAATCATAGACAGAATTATTGTATTATTTTAACGAAACGGAATACTGCCATCCCGTGATTTACCGAGAAGATTCTCCCACGTGATGTTGTCACGCGACGCAAAAAAATGAGAAGGAAAAAAGAGGAAGAAAAAAAGGCGCGTACGCAGGGGGGGGGGGGGGGGGTCGAGCCCCCTCAAATTTTTGTCAAGCTGTCAAGTTGGTCCTGATGTGTATAATGCGTAGACCATGGGTTCTCAAACTTTTTCTTTGACGGTCCAGAAGCGATTTCTATGAAAGCTGTAAGGTCCGAAATGACACTTGTATACTGAAGATAATGAGGCTTGTTTTTGGTCTATATCTGATCCAAGGAGAATTGTTACAGTTTTAAAAAAACAGAACCGCCAGTGCTTCCACTCGTTTAAATAGAGTTTCCTGAAAAAGAACACCCAATATCCTGGAATTTGAAAGAATTTTCTTAAAACTTTCAAAATGCCTCTTACGTGGATTTCTTATTTGGATGAATCGCTATGACGTTTTAATATATATCAATTATAGAGTGGGCTTATTTTGCTTTCTAATGGATCCATACAACATGGCAGAGCTTGAGGGCCTGGCAGAGCCTTTTCAAGAGAGAAATTGTCTTTAGGTGAAAAAAAGAGGTTATTTCTGAAATGAAATGAAAGGGCTCTTGTCAAATAGCCCTTTCATTTCATTTTTGAAATAAACTCTAATACATTCCTTGATATTTAAATTGCGCCGCCCCTATTGTGTCCTCTTTTTAAAGAGCACAACAGAGCCCTCAGATTAGGCAGCAAGTAGAAAAACAAACCCGTAACACTGGACACAACATTCAATGGGATGATGCCCAAATCATTGAGTTTGAAACGCACTTCTGGTCAAGAATGGTAGAAGAAGCATCTGCATCAAAAGGATGAATCCTTCACTGAATATGGATTCTTGCTATACACTTTTACCTTTGTGTAAATAATAAAAGGTCCACGGGCGTGGTTGTTAGAAGCTTAAACTACATAAAACTCTCTCCAATTTTGCAGGGGGAGAGCCTTTGTCGGGAGTCTTTAATAATAAAAGGGATAAATCCTTCACTGAATAGGGATTCTTGCTATATGTTACCTTTCTTCGCTCCAGTGATCTCGAGGCAGCAGACAGCAAGAAATTGTGTAAATAATTTGCTGTTGCCGGGAGTCTTGCATGGGGCGGAGCCCCAGGAAGTTCTTGAACTTTAAAAAAAATAGGAAATTCCAAATAGTCGTCATGAGCGATAGAAATTGTAATTTCCTCCTTGAGAGTCACATAACCCCTTTCATTTCATTTTAGAATTTAACCTCTCTTTCTCTCTTAAAGACAATTTCATATAACTTCTGTTTTCGCATTGTTGTACTTTCGTCCGCAGACTACTTAAGCACATGTCGAGCCAACTCAGTCGGAAATGTAATATGTAGGCCTAAGTGTAAAGTTAAGTTTCATGTTCTTCCTTTTTTCTTTCTTTCTTTCTTTCTCTCCCTCTCTCCGTCTCTCTCCTTTTCCTCTATCTTCTTTTTTAAAAACATTATTCTTTCTTTTCTTCTCATTTTTCTGTGTGTGACATGCGTTACGCGTACGTCTATCAATGTGTTAATATGGTAGATTTACATTTTGATGTTTCCCTTTGTAGGTGCACCTTATATTCCAGAAAGTGCCCTATTTTGATGGTGCCCCCCCCCCCCATGTATTGATCTCGATAAAAATAACTTTCTCATTAATTCTATTTCCAATACATCTAATAATTGCACTAATCTCCAATTTAAAAAAAAATCGTCTACTTTCTCTCAAGACAACATTATATTAAGGATTCATTAATGCAAGGCTATCACGCGAGTAATCTCTCAATTTTCTTCCTGCTTTCCTCATCTCCCAGTCTCCCTTGCTTCAATATTCCTCGTTACTTCCTTCCATTGAACTCCAACTTAATTGATGTTATACACCGTATCTATTCTTCAACTACAGGTAGATGCAAATGTTACTCAAAATCTATTATATAAATCACACTCAGGATACAGCCAATCGACGAGAATTGCTTCAATCTATATTTTACATGTATCATTAATATATGGTTTTACAATGGCTATGGTATGGTGATGAGTTGTCTAGGTAACATGTTGATGTGTTTGTTAAAATGTATTACCATGGTGCACCTTCTTGGTTACAAAAAAAATATGTGTATGTATTAACGTAAGTTCGTGCCTTTACATATCCAGTAGAAATCAATGTTTTATATTTGATGCAGAATAATATTAATATTTGGAGATTAGAAACACAAACAGTTTCCATAACCGTTCAAGTGTTTCAAGAAAAAGTTAAGCAAACTTTCTCCTGGATGTAAATTCACACTAGCGTATAGCACTAACGAGCTCTCTGATCCAGGCTAGACTCTTCGCGAGCGGTTTCATTGGAATTTTAAGCGGTTTCATTGGATTAATCGAGAAATTCCCCTCGCTAGCGTGTAAATAAAAAATACGCCGGCCGGCCATACGTAAATGGCAGTGACGGTAACGACGAATTAGGAGGAAAGGGTGCATACGTGAACTACAAGCGTATTGGGGATGACCATACTATCATTTTAGAGTGTGCAATCTGGGTCGGAATCCAGCATAATATATTTATAAAAAAGAGGTTCACGTAAAAGCACCTATGATAAAGCCGCGCCCGGCCCCTACATCATTTTGGATTTTCAGATGATGGGGCGGGTGGCAGGAGTAGGGGGCAAAGTTCGCCCCACTCTTCAAGTACCTCCCCCCCCCCCAAAGGGCCACTTTTACTTTTGTAAAGAAGTGCCCCTTCCCCTTTTTTACTCGGATAAGCGCACCTTTCATCAACACATGTGCCCCCTTTCCTTTTTGATAAGGGCTATTTAGAAAAATGAGGCCCTTCATAAATAAAAAGTGTCCCTTTTCATCTCTGGTAAATGACCATTTTCATATATGAGAAGTTAATTCTTTTCACTTCAGTGCGCTCTTCACCTCCGATAATTGCCCCTATTCAAATCTGAGAGATGCTCGTTTTACTTTGAAAAGTACCCCTTCCCCTCCTGATAAGTACTCTTTTCATCTATGATGGGAGCCCATTTTCACCTTTGCTAACTGCCCTTTTATTTTGAATCTTGCCCCTTTTCCTTTCTATTAAGGGACCTATCCCCTTTTCACCTCTGATAAATCAATTTCTGATGGATGCCCCTTTTCCGTCAAACAAATGCCCATTTCCCATACTCATACATTGTAAGTGCCCTATCTCATTTCTGGTGAGTGCCTCCTTTCAGGTGTAAGAAGTGCCCCATTTGAATCTGATAATTACTCTTTGTACCTTGACACATACTCCTTTTCTTTTCTAATAAGTGTCTTTATCCCTTTCGATATGTGTCCCCTTAACCTCTAATCATCAGGCACGTAGGCACGGGGGGGGGGCACGGGGGGGGCCCTAACCTGCTCATCATTAGTCTTGCACCTAATTTAAAGCGACTAAGAGTAATTTCCCCTAAAGCTCGCTCGCTCGCTCGCTCGCATTTATAGATGATACAATTATATGTCATTTTAAAACAAATATTTTTTCAGTCTTCCGTGTTGCTTATAACCCCATCATGATTTGTTTTTTTCCTCTTTATAAGATGTAATTTTTCACTCTGCGACCTCACAGATCTTACATCTCGCTCGCAAATGAATATTTAGACAATCACACTCAGCCGAAAGTGTGATGCTTAAGCAATAACTTGTATGATATATAAAGAAAAACAAATATTGAAATCGTCCCTGATAATGGAATCACAATGAAAGGGTATATACCAATGTCTAAAAATGTATATTTTCGCTTTGAGATTTCCTTTTTTGTTGGTGCTTTCCACTTTGGGAAATAGCTCCGCCGCCCCTGCTTACGCATTAGCGCCAGCGTTAATTTCACGCTTGCGCGCACAGGGGTGTCTGTGTGTGTGTGTGTGGGGGGGGGGGTTCCTCTCTAGCTCTGAAGCTGATTTTTTTTTTTTTACCTAGATTCGTGCGATTCGGTTAATAGTTTTAGAGGGAGTCTGAGGGGTGATGTGCCCCCCTCTGAAGCTGACATTTTTTTGGATTTTTGAAACTGGATTCGTGCGTTTTGGTTAATACTTTTTTTGGGGAGTCTGATTTGATTTCAAAACACCTGCAGTTAATGCGGGATGGTGTTGCAGCCTCTCTTTCCCCGAAAATTAAAAAATTACCAATGTGCATTTGTTATATCTTATCTCGTATATTTTGGTGACAATTAACACTTTTCACAACATACATAAGCTCAAATTTCCGCTCACTCGCTTCGCTCACTCGCCAAATTATTAAACCAGGAAATAGATATTGGGGCAAGAGGCTTCAGCCCCCACTGATGGAAATGTCAAAAAAATTGCGCGCGAGCATAACTTGAAAACGGGGAATATTGATATCGGACAAGAGATGTGACGTGAGCATGTCCCCTTTCCAAAATAATTGTGCCCGTTTGTAGGTACCAGTACACTATTAAAGTACAGTGCTTCTAATATGACCTTGTCAGTATTGGTAAGTTTAAATAACGGTCTGCGCGAATTTCGAATTTCCGGCCCCCCCCCCCCCCCCCCCCCTATTGGAAAATCCTGGATCCGCGCCTGCTATTTAGGGTACGCATATGCTTGTTCCCTCTTTTTGAAAGCACCCCCTATCTGAGGACTGCCAACATTTCCGAACCCCCCTTTTGCGGGCTTTTCCTGCCTTGGAGACCCCCCCCCCCCCTAAATCATGAAAAATGCTCAATGTACCCCTCTTAATTCGAAATAATTTCTCAGGAGTCCAAAGAGATGAGAGAAAACAAACCGAAAAAACACCCCCCTTTTTTAAGAAATCTCCGGGTGAAAAGTTAATACACCCCTTTTTTTACAATTCTTAGGCCGGACTTTGTCACACGAAAAGTACCCCTTTACTGACAGCTTGGTAACACGCATGCGGTCCACCCGTTCTCGGAGTGGGGGGGGGGGGGGGGAGGGGGCGGGTGTGAGGTAACATCATCCCGCAAATTACGTAGAGATATTATGAAAATGAGATGTATTCTTGACCTTTGATGTAAAAAATTCCTTACGAAAGTGTACAAGAGATATATAAATGAAGATATTCTTGGCATGATGTGATGCCTTTTAGCATGACATGGGCGCAGTCATTTTCTTGAAAATGTGACGCACCAGGCTAAGTTGTACACGTATCACGCACCAAGCTTTAGTTGGAAAGAATTATAACGAAACCTTTATTTTTCAATGAGGAAAAATTATAGCTGAGAAGGAAAAATACTTTGGTGAAAATATATAACAGGGGAACAATTGTAACTCATTTATCCAAAATACTAAGATATAGCAGTTGACAAATCTATTTCATTTCTATTATCTACTTCACCCCAGAAAAGCACCAACTTATTTGCGCTATTTGCATTCTCACAATTGTAGTACAAAGGGTAATAGCAGGTGAATGAAATACTTCATCATCATACACACACACACCTGGGAAGGAATAAAGCATCCAAACATTTGAATACAATCGACTTCGTACAATTCGTCACGTTATCAAGAAAATTGCGATGCCCATGTCGTGCTGAGAAACTGTACATTATTCTTGCTCTATGCCTCTCTCATACAGTTTTGTGGGGAATCTTAAAATGAATGGGCAAGAATGGTATAAATCTCTCAGAATAACTAAAGTTTATTATTGAGATGAGGTTTCCTTTAGGTTTTTGTCTGTACTAGCTTAGCGGAGGTACAAGGGAGGGGTACGTAATAACGTGCTCCTGCCAATTGAATGACGAAGAAAAGGGAAAATATGGAAATAAAATTATAAAAGTAAGAAATAAGGTAAGAGAGAAAATATAGGAAAATGACAAGAAAGAATACGATAGGACCACTCCCACATCTTTCCACTAATCAGATGCCTAAGCTTGTAGCTTTCATGGTTGTAACTAGTGGAGCCCCAATGAGACCAGTGTATCTCAACGACCTTACGCTACGCTAATATTCGTCCCTTTTCAAAGGGTTATATTTGTTTCATTTAATCGTATATAAGTCTATACACAACAAACAAAAAGTACACTTATATTGAAGTGCATGGGAGCTCCTTGGTATGTGGAAGCACTGCACTGTACATAAGTATTGTTGAAAGCTCCTGACTTTCACAAGAAAGGGTCCGGGGAGTTAGTCTTGCTTGAAGCGCTATACAACTTTGGTCAAGAGGATTTACCCCCAATTGTTTCACAAAGACTAAGATCGACTTAAAGATGAAGTTGAGTTCTGGTCATGCGATTGCACTGTGAAAGAAACGGTGTGGAGCCGACCAGAAAAGGTTGATCATCTAGCATATAAGAATTTGTGTGTATTGGAAGGTTCTGGAATCATCAAATGATAAGAATGTGGCAGTCTTGGTAAAGTTACAAACACTTGCACAGAAAGATGTATATGGGACTACACGAACTGGCGTAAAAAGCCGGCCCCCGATTTTTACGATGTTACATGCATATTTAGAATATGAAGGCATTTGAAGAGCCATGCTTTTCAGGGACATGTCTTAACTGATGTTTTTACTTGCATAATAAGAATGAGTAATGCTCACAAATTATTTTTCACCTCTTCCCAGAACTCAACCTTCTCTTTAAGTTGGACTAAATAGGGCAGGCCGTTCATGCCACTGTTTGCTCTCACCATTCATTGGATTGGGCTCTCAAGGGACGTACAAAATGTGGTCACAAATCCACATTTTTTACTTCAACGATGAACTATTTAAAAAAATATAACAAATCTGTAGATTTGTGACGTCTCTTGAAAGAACAATGATGAGAGCAACCAGTGGCATGAACGGCCTGCCATAGTTCATGTCCAACTTAAGTCGATCTTAGTCTTTGTGAAACACCCCAGGTGTACTAAATGGGTACCTGGCAATGCTGGGGTAATTATAATAGCAAGGCCACAAGAAAAGTAGTATTCATACTGATGAGGCTACTCAAACACGACCACATCCATTTTCAATAAATCAAATCAAGGGCAATTACATACCCCATGGATGTCCTATATACAGATCATGTTCAGATTACGTCATAATTACGTCATCATCATGTTCACACATTTCAATAGGTGATGCACAATGCTGTTAATACTTATCCTTCCCTCATATACCTTGAGACTGGGTTGGGTTTAGAGAGGGTTGGCTGCGAGTGTCATGGGAAGGGGTGCATGGGGGTGGTGTGCGTTTGTTTGACCATATCCCACTTCTGACACCATGTTTGATACCTTTGTTGGACGCTACATACTAGTCAACAAAGATTGCTTGTAGTGGCTAAACTTTGACAGTTGTCCTTTATTGTGGTCATCTTGGCCTGAATCCGATATCACATTATGTACACTTCGCGGCCCAAATAACAATTGACATTGACCCGAATATTAGCAGAAGTTGCTATCTCCAGTTTCTTTACCCATACATTTTTTTGAGATCCAGCCCCTTTTATAGCTGTTTTAATTCTATAGTCCAGTGGTACAAATATTCCTTCATCTTCATTGCCTCCAAGATGATAAGGAACTTGTATTTGCTCTAGATATTCAGTGATAGCTGTCTTATACAAACATTTTTTGGGGGGCCATACATATAACTAGAAGGAAAAAACGTAGATACGAGTTTACGAGTATATTCTTTACCACGAAGATAATGAATCTTCATTTTCTCTAGATTGTCAATGACTTCTGTATATATAATAACAAGACAATATTTTTAAAGTTTCTGGCTTTACCTTTGACAGCAATTCGTCATCCATGGGGCGCAACATAAGAGACATGCAAAACTTTGCTTCGTCTTGGAGCTCTTAGAAAATGAATTAGAGTGAACCATAGTCATAGTAGACAAAATAGAAAAGAAAAAAAAACATGTATCATTTATGTTTAGACTAGTATAGTATCAAAGCACAACATTAAATTTTCTTATCATTCTTACCCTATTTTCTGTCCGAACAGCAAACCGAAGGAATATGAGGTGAAGACAGAGCCGAGGTTCCAATACAAGAACGATGCAAACAGCGGCGTCATCAATCAGGCATTCGACCAGGAAATCGAACAAGGAAAAGTGATATCTTAAAGGTACTATGTCCCATTTGCAGGCCAAAAAAATGAAAAAGTTAAATTCCAACTGCATTTGAAAGATAATACTAATTTAGAAATTCCCTAAAAAAGGTGGGGCTTGAAAATGTCTTCAAGTGGGAAAATAACGACTATTAGTTGTCAAATCGACTTTAGGGCTATAGAGCCCAAAAGTAATAGTCTCGATTTTCAGACAATTGTACCGAATGGTCATACGTTTTATGCTGCGCAAAGATCCAATCAGTTTAATCTTGGCCATCACAAGAAGTGGGATATTGATGTAGACAAATGCTCATGTATCCTTTACAACTCTTTTCATGTATGTTATTACCAAAGAAGGAAGAAGAAAGCCAGTCAGTCACTCAATAGTGTCTGACAGTGAAGTCTAGCAAGTAAACGGGTTTCGTTGCATAATTTGAATATGAGGACACTGCTAACGTTTAAATTTCACAGATAGGACATACATGATATATTTATAATTCCTGCAAAGTTCTACAGAATTTGAGGTTGGCTGCAAAAGGGACATAGTACCTTTAAAGGATATCATTGGGGATGCTAGTCATAATTTCATATATTCATGATATCAAATGATCTTACTAATCAACCATCAGTCATGTTTACAAACTCAAATAATTCAAATTGTATTGATTTCAATCCAAACAATCCTCCTCTAATAAATATGTCATGCTTGTTGACAACCATGGCAAATAAATCATAAATCATAAATCATTTATTACATCCACCCATAAATGATATATGATTATCAATATTTGCTATAACTGTGAATCACATGTTGTAAAAACTTTTATGGTGAATGTATAATATCTAATGTTCAAAAAATATGGTGAGTAGCAAAATTAAGCAGCATTCATTCTTAGTGTCATACTTTTGTTGTGTTGTAATGGTACCTTCATGATTTGAGCTGAATTAATCTTCTCATATTGACTTCCGTACTTACATACCATTTAATAGCCGTCCTTTTCAATTAACTTCAGTACACAGCGCGCGGCGGCTTCACGTAATTTTAGTACAACTCGAAGGAGTGAAAAGAAATCTTTTTATTTTAATACACTTAACAGGATAGAAACTCAATTCCGAAGAAGTTTAATCTGGAACATGCTTACTTTGTTTTGATATTTCAGGATTCATCCATCGCATATATTTCTATAATTAAGACTGAATTACACACTATCATGTACATGTATGGACATCTCGCTTGGTTATTTAACATTATAGATAAGATGAAAACTTATATTGAGGAACTTTGGAAGTCTCGTCTGCTAATAGAACAATATATCTAAAATGCAACAAAAAAGAAATGTGTCTCACCATACTCCTAACCCGACCTATGTAATCCTATATTAAAAAGAAGAAATGTGTCTTACCATACTCCTAACCCGACCTATGTAATCCTATATTAAAAAGAAGAAATGTGTCGTATCATACTCCTAACCCGACCTATGTAATCCTATATTTAAAGAAATTAAAACTAATATAATAACAGCAAATGAACATGGATTGTTGTTACATTGATGATGTTCGAATAATAACATATTTGCCCAAACATACACTGAGATCTCTATCATCGTTAAACTCTTACATTTCTTTAGCTCGATTCCCTTATTGGAACTTTAAAAATGTGTCATTTGCCGATTAATAGAGTAGTCATGCAGTAGAGATTATAAGGGGGTGGGGTAGTATATAGCGAGATATGTGTTGGAAGAATATCAGATATTCCGATATGATGTTAAACTTGGTCGGGATCCCTCTCCCTTCCTGTTTACTGTTGCCTATAAAGTTGGAATATTTTTAACCTTTTTCATGAAAAGATATGTAACAGGATTATTTTATTATTGATAGATGAAGTGAAGTTATATCTTTAAAAGCTTTTTTTATCATTGTCCATGACTCTTCAGGTTGACCAATGAAGTTCTAAGAAGATATAAACTTCATCAATCAAGAATAAATCACATTATCATCATCCTTACATGAGAAGATGTCAGAACACTTATTTCAACTTTATAGTCAACAGCGTATTTGGGTGTTTTATGTGTTGTTATAGAGGATATAGATTATCAATAAATCGGATTTGATTTTAAAATGAATTGATCTCCTCTTAGTCTTACCTAATTGATGTGTGTGTACTGTGCACATGGCTGTATGTTCACCGGCTTCCTTGTTTCTCTCACTTTATCTATTTTTCCTGGTTCGACATTGACCTGTTATAAAACATTTAAAGTATCCCATATTGTGTTGGGATTTAAATCTGTATTACTATGGATTTCTTGAAATTCCCTTATCTTGTCTTTGATATAATTACAAAAATCAGCATTACTTCTCAAATATTTACATTTACATTTCCAAAAACCACTTACCACGAGGGATGTTGTTTGTCAAATGAAAGTTTCGTGATCCTAGCCGGGACCCTAGCTTATACCAGTCAAATTATCCGTTTTTGTTTACAATGCTTATCAAATCGCTACATACCGGCAAAGATGTAATCGAGCCTTGACAAAACAAGAGGGTTTTGTTGAAGTCTGGGGAACATTAGATCCTGCTCCTTAGTATCACAATAATTGATAAAATTCTGATGAGCTTCAAATAACACTAACAATTCAACATTCAATCAATTCAATTCAATGTATTTATTTTGTCCAATGTTATTCAAACATGGATATTTGGTTCGCTCACATGTAAAATAAAGGCTCAAAAAAGGTTTACAAAGAACAGAAATATAATACAAAACATAGATGCATTTTGGTGATGACAAAATAATAGTCATACGTCATAATGACTCTCGTTTGTTATGGCTTCTTTAGTTTCCTTTAAGCTATGGTCACAAATCAGAGCAGCGACCGATCAGTAGCCTGCTCGGTCGCTGCTGGAATTAGGCATCGCCCAGCGATTACGTCGGTGCCCGGTCAGCGACCGCCCAGGCACCGAGCGTATTTTGGGCGGCGACTGAAAAGTGAGCAGGGCGCCGCCCAAATTTTAACTCCGCGCTAAAACTTCAGCGGCGACCGAGCGATGCCCTAAAAACGAGCGGTGCCTGGGCGGCCGCCGCTCGGTGGCCGGGCAGCCGCCGGGCAGAATTGGTTAAAAACTCGCCGCTCGGCCGCCGACCAGGCTACTTTTGGGTTATGTGACCATAGCATAAGTTACGTAATTTAAATGTCTTCATGCATAAAGGATCAAGCAGTATGAATTGCATACATTTCATGGAGGATATGCCATGTTTGTCACACCTAGTAGCAATTAATATATGCAACTCACATTCTGACTATTGAAACACAATTATTTGTAAAAAGGTGAAGGAAATAATTTGTAACGAGGCTGTGCATTAAATTTGATTACGTTACGAAAATGGCCTATTGTGTTCGGAACGAAAGCTTCAGTCTCTTATATCGACTGATCGCGCGATCCCGTATTTTTGTATACTATTGACCTAAATGAGGGGGCATTTCTCGCACCTGAAAAGCAGCACTCACAAGACGTATCCGAGGTGAACGGTGACACTATAATTATGCATTTTGTGTTCAAGTGATCCAAATGACCGAGGGCCCAGGTTTAAAAAAATGTACACACATCTTTGTTGCTGGTGTTTATGAAGCATGACGAGATCGAGTTGTCATTAAAAATTAGTGTGCAGGAACTCCGAGCATAAATAGAACAAGATTTACTAGTCTAACAGTGCGTGTTTCTAGTATCTTCCTGAACACTCGGCTTAGTTTTGACTGCATGAAGTTGCTGTAAGGCACAATCATGAAATTCGATGAAATTCTTATCACTGTCGGGGAGTTTGGTCGTTATCAGAAGTTGATATACATCGTCTTTGTTTTAGTTTCCATCCCCAATGCTTTTCAAGCCATATCTATCGTGTTCTTGGCGGGATCATCGGATCATTGGTGTGCGGTAAGTTTTTCCAATTTATACGAGAACTCTCGGTTATTGTGGGGGGGGGGGGGTCGAAGAAACTCATTCATTGCGACTGAACAAGGCAGGGGCGTCGGACGTTCGGGGGCACACCAACAAAAAAGGGCACCTACAAAGGGAAACAAGGCAAAAATGTGTAATATTTAGGCGACATTGGTACATGTGTATACCTGTATATAGTTATTACATTATCAGGGATGATGATTCCACCATTTGTCTATGTATTTATCAGAGATGATAATGATGATGATGATGATGATGATGATGATGATGATGATGAACAGCATTTGTATGGCGCTATATATCTGTTTTAAAAAACATTCGACGGCGCGAGCTGCTCCAATAAAGTTAGCATTTAAATGTCTGAAGGAAGATGTGAGTTTTGAGTGAAGCTTTGAAGTGGTCCAGGTTGTCAATTTCGCGAATAAATGATGGGAGGGAATTCCACAGGCGAGCCTGAGCAATAGAGGTGGAAAGGTCATTTATGAAAAGGGGAAGAGACTCTTATAAAAAAAAATGGAAAATGGGTACTTATCAGAACGAAAAAAGGTACTTACTAAAAAGGGAAAATGAGCTCGTGTCAAAGGACTAGGGGCACGTGTCAAATTAAAAAGGGCAATTATCAAAGGTGAGGAAGGGCACTTCTCGCATCTGAAAAGAAACACTCACCAGAGATTAAAAGGGGCACTTGTGAGAATGGAAAAAGGGCACTTAACAGAATTTAAGAGGGGCATGTATTATAGGTTAAAAGGGACTGAGTGAATTTGAAGGGGAACTTACTAAAAATGAAAAGGGGGCACTTATCAGATGGAATAGTGGGTACTTTTTTTACAGGAAAAGGAAAAGTTATATGTTTTCGTGTGTGGATGCACTAGTATAGAGTAATTTTTGTCAGTTAAGTCATCAAAATGTGAACTTTGATAAACTATTTAAAAAAAATCAACGATTGTGAATATACAATATTCAGAAAAAAGTTCACAACAGATTTTTGTGAAACGTCATGCACGCAATATGATACAAATCATATAACCTGTTTTGGGATATAAAACGGGAAATTAATGGGATAAAAAGAATAAAGCAATTGATAAATAGTGAGGCAATAACGTCACAAACTGATAACCAAATTGACAATTTGTGTAGTGATTTTCTAAGTTCCATAGTTTTTCGTACTTTTAAAAAGATTCATAATTTCGTTTTTAGTTATCCGATTTTATTCAAGTGTTTGTTTTGCTCTGTTTCTCTTGTTTTTTCTGCATCTATTAAAAGCAAATTATTGTTGGAGTGGACTTAGCCTTTAACAGAGGCGATAGGAGGCACTTATGCCTTTTAAATTCAAGTGACCCACATAATTTGACCCCGCACATAAGGTGAACCAAGTTGTAAATGTATATTTGATTGTTGTTTTTATGAAGCATGCCAAGTTTACAGGGGTCAATGTGTCGTTTATGCAGAACCACCTTGCATATATACAACCAGATTTACTAGTCAACTCAGACGCCTTGTTCTAGCATCTTCCTTGAACACTTGGTCTAGATCTTGACTGGCACGGTGTTGCTGTAAGGCACAATCATGAAATTCGATGAAATTCTGACCATTGTCGGAGAGTTTGGTCGTTATCAGAAGTTGATATACATCGTCTATGTTTTAGTCGCCGTTCCCACTTCATCTCATTTCATATCTATCGTGTTTTTGGCGGGATCATCGGATCATTGGTGTGCGGTAAGTTTGTCAGACAAGAACTCAATTAATGTGTGTGTGGGGGAGGGGGGGTCGATGAAAGCCATCCATTGGGACTGAACAAGGCAGGGGCGGAGAAGTGTCTTACCAAATGAGGGCACCACAAAAGGGCACTTCCTTGAAAAAAGGCACCTACAAAGGGAAACCTCAAAGCGAAAATATACAATTTTTAGGTGACATCGGTATTACCGTTCATTGTGATTAAATTAACAGGGATGATTTCACTATTTGTTTCTCCCTTTACATAGTCCAAGATACTGCTAAAGCACGAGACTTTGCTGTTGGGTACGATGGTCTGAATATTCATTTTTAAGCGAACGAGCAACACTTTCCAGATTTGTGAGGTCGCAGTGCGAAAAATTTCTTATTATAGAGAGGAAAAAAAAATCAATCCTGATTGAATTTTAAGCACAATCTAATCATGAAAGACTATAAATACCTGTAATAAGAATTATAATAATATAGCTATATCTACTATAAATGCAAGTGAGAGTAGCCAGCAAGCTCTGGAGAATGAAAAAACTTGATCTTAGTGGCATAAAGGTAAAGACCAGTATTGGAAACGCCCCAATTTCAAAAAATGAAATGGAAGCTCTCATTACCAATCATGTGAAAGAATATGTTTTGACTAATACATGATGATAAAAAATTTGCCGGGAAACCGCCTACTAATTCATATATTTGGTAAATTTGTTTCTCTCATGGTCTGGTGAGAGATATAGGGTAGTCCCATATACATCTTTCTGTGTATAGTGCTTGTAACTTTACGAAGAATGGGCCAAATTTCTTATCATTTTGATGATTCCAGAACCTTGCAGATGCTAGATGCTAGATGATCAACCTTTTCTGATCGATTCCACAACGTTTCTTTCACAATGCAATCGCATGACCATTACTGGTCTTTACCTTTAAAGGGATCCGGTAACTTTGTCTTACTCTTAGATCCTTTAAAAAAAATCCTTGGTTTAGCTCATGCTGCAATGATAATTATAAACCTTTAAGTCAGTCAGGAACCCCATGACTTTTACAGGCCGATCGCCTGTCTGATTATCAAGATATTTATGATTGAAAATCGAAATCAAATTTTGCGTTTGTCAAATGGTTTTCATAACACTACTGTAGTGTAATGAAAACCATTTGACAAACTGTAATAGACTGTAACAGTCTATTGGGGAAAACGAGTAGGTATAATAAAAACGGTAACTCAACGGTTTTACTTTGAGGCACTTCTTGATCATTTTGAAGCGCAATTTTTTAGGGCTTCAATATAACACTCTATCACAAACACTGATAAACTCAGAACCCTCAGACAATTTAAAAACTCAATCAAGCAAGAAAAGTATTTATCTCATATACCAAATATAAATTTAAGAAAAAATATCACCAAACTACGTCTAAGCGCGCACAACTTACCCATAGAAACAGGAAGATATAA